AATGCCAGGCCTGATGCGTGAGTCATTTACGGAGTGATGAACGGGTGTCCGATTTCATTGGCTTCCCTTGTCTTCTGGATTGGGCTCAGAATTACAAGGATACTGAGTTGAGGCCGGGATAGCCTGGTTGGTAGGGCACTGGGCCCATGTCCAAGAGTTCGAGGGTTCGATACCCGCCGGCTGAAAACTTCCCGTGTTGTAAATGGTGACTGATGCACGTCAAATCTGTCGAGTCGCAAAGCTTCCTATGTTCCCATAACAAATCAACACCTCTGGGGGTACTGATCCAGGAGTTTCCTTGTCTTTTGGATTGGTTCAAATTACAAGGCTAGTTGAACATTAGTAGTCATGAACCCAAAATTGGGTCATCCATTCAATGACGTTTATTAAAAAGAATATATCTGATGGTACAGAATTGGAGATAGATCGTTCTCTGGTTCAGGTCAAAAATACGGTCTGTGTATGAATGAATTTAATATGAATGGGTCCTTCCTGTAAAAGGGTCCGGGACGTGTGAGTGGCGGTGATCGTTTTCTTTACAATAGATGGCACCACGGAATAACAAGAAACGCAACCCTCTGCTTTAAACTCGCTTGATTTCCAATAGCAGCCATGCTCGTATAGGCAAGTGGCATAATTAACAACAACAACATGAATAATATAAGATGAATTCTTTAAAACGCTTAGTTAATAAGATGAATTATAGTTTGCTTATGACTGTTATGAATTGTTCATAATTTATTTAATATATTGTTCTTAGGAAGAAATGTACATTTACAATTTTTACTATTTCTTTTTTCATTGCCATTTTACTTAAATGTTGTTGTTGACGTATGCCTGTTAAAGCAGAGAGGTGCGATAGTTCTTGTTTTCCAGAGGCGCCATCTATGGCCAAGAATTTGACTTTTGCCACGCCCGCTTGCAGGACGAACCCATTCATTCATCCACAGATCTTAATTTTGGCCTGAATCAGAAATCGATCTATCTCCAATTTAGTACCCGCAGAGGTATTGATTTGTTATGGGAACATGGGGGACATTTTTACTTACATAATGGCATAAAATAAGCAGTTATTTTGTGTAGGTGATGGATTATAAACTGGATATAAATTACAGGTTTCAAATATTCTTGTTTTTAAAAAAAGAAACACTCGTACTCTCGGAGCCTTTGTGACACTTCCATGGGCTCCGTGGAACATCTTTTGGAAACTTCAATCATTAAGTCTGGGCTTGACACCTATTGACGTTCAAATGTGGCTGAAATCAAATGAATTTTCAGCAGGAGGTAGATTTATCAGTAATGCTGAGGTGAAAGCGAGGTCCGATATAAGAGCATAGAAGCGAGCTGGTTTGAAATATGCATAAAAATATTATTAGTGTCTGCAAAAATGCTTCAAACAAAATGGTGATTATATAGATAAAGGGATAAATTTTCAACCCTATTAAAAGAATGAAATAAGGAAATTTTTATTCCCAGTAGGAAAAAAAGAAAAAAAAAGAAACTTTTTTGATTGACCTCGTAATATGCCAAAGCTATCATTTTCCTAATAAATGCACTAGTCAAATTACAATATTTTTTAAATCGGCTGCATGATATGAACAAATAGCAGACGCTCTGTAATGTTTTTTAACCGACAATATTTATTTATTTTTGAATATTGAGTTTTCTTTCTCTTTTTTTATTTTTTATAACGATAACTCATTTGAATGTTAAAAAGTGTTCTAAAGAATCAGCATTTATTTGTTTCTTATCCAAAGTAATTCTTATCTAATATTTGTCGTAAATGGGTTTCAGTTTTGGTTTAAAAAAAATAGTCCACAAACTAGATCATGATGTTTATACATTACCCAAGAATATTAGCCATTCTTACATTTTTCTCGATCTTTTTAATGTACATAAAATTGCATCAATCGTGTCTGATAACGTGGAGGAGACTAAAAGAAAGATGGCGCCTGGTTTCAAAGACAGGTTGGTATACTCAAATAGAAAACTTTTCCTAACAAGCATTCAAGTTGATAAAAATTGAAAGCATGTAATGTTTTCTACCTAGAGTTTAATTTCATTTTTCATCTGAAGCATATTGTATGGTAAGTCTGAAAGATACGACTATTTTTAATTTACTTATTTTTTTAAATATTAGGTGGTTCCGCTCATAAAATCCCGTGATAACTTCACATTCTCCATAGCTTTTTCTCTCTTAATTGAAATCATTTTCAACAAAAAAAATTTATTAATGAAGTAGATAATTATTATAATTTTATATGACAACAATTTGTTATTAGTCATAATTAAATGAACGAACTAATGGATTTGAAAAATATTCAATTGAACTGAATATTTTAATACAGGAATGCAGAATTTTTGACAAAATCACGAAATTTAAAAGAAGTCATTTCATTTGTTGATGAGACTTACATCATTATAACATAAGACATATATTTTTAAAAATTTAAGTATAAATGTTAATATCTGGCAACATATAATCTCTCTCTCTCTATGTGTGTGTGTGTGTTATTTTTAATATAAACGCAAGCGGAAGCTTATAAAAGATGGAGAAATGAATAAACTTTTCAACTACAATTTGTAAATAAATATTACTTGGAAATATAAAAGAAATAATAGGAACAAATCGCGAGAAAACTCCTAGAATTGCAATAACTTTTCAAAAAAATTAGGTTTTTAAAAAAACTCGTATGAAGTTCTTAAATAAAAAGCACATTTCAGCACGCCAAATTTTACCATAGTTATTAAATTTTTAAGGCTGTTTTTCGAAGCTCAGTCACCAAGGAAAATAAAAAAGCCATAGTTTAAGTGTCTTACACTTGAAGCAATGTGATGATTTTAAATTATGTATATAATATTGTCGTGGTGAATTATCTGCCCTTTAGAACAGACGAATAACTTATTTATATAAAAAGTTCTTAAACTTTTTAAAAATCACTAATTTGGTGACACTCTCCCATCTAGATGATAATTATCAAAATCACTGCCTTATTCTCAGTTTTTGAGCCCAAGAAGGCAGCATTGGAGTAAGTTTTTAAATATTAAAAGATTAGACCACAGAAACTTTTAATTTTCACAAAACAGTGACTTTTCTCCGTATTGACGTTTTGCGCCATTTTCACAATAAGAATAGACAGCACTGGCTTTACATAGGACAAACTTTACCTAATAGTCACGAGTAACAGTTGCAAATTTACAGCAAAAAACATTCTCAAAAAAGCATAATTTCATATTACGACGGAGCCTTCGAAAAACAACCTTTCTGATTAAAACTGTTTTCCAAGTAAATACCGATAATTATTTTTGTGACATTCATTTGCTTGCTGAAAATTGCTTAATAAAATGCAGGCTGTTTCAAAATTATAAGAGACTTTTCAGTGGGAACGTCATGTTAATACAAGGTAATTTCGAATTCTACAGAGCACCAAATATTAACTACTCCTGCAAAATACTTTTATATTTTAAAAGATTAACACCTTAATTTCTTTTTTTTTTCATCGAGTTTTAAGACAGATTATTTAAAACAATAAATTTTCAGGGAAGACTATCAACGGCGTTGCGTATGTAACGCGATTTTAGCTATTCGTTATATCCGTGTGTAAGAAAATTGTATTTTGTTGCATAAATATTTTCTAACGCAAGAGAAAGATCTTTTAACCCTATTTGAATTTTTTTTTTTTAAGAATTTATAAATAAATTTAATACTTACTGGGTAATAAGTACTTACTGTGGAAATAAGTGTCCCTTTTAAAGGGATAAGTAATTGAGAATTTTCTGGATCGTGATAAATTCTGAAATCGAAATTTCAAAACTTTGCAAGACTCGTATTTCTTTTACATGGGGCCCTAGCACAAGATTCAGAGAGTTTTCTGTGCCGAATTCTATGTATAAACCTACATTATCAAACTATTGAAATAATCGAAAGCAGTAAACTCTAGTAAATTTTCGAAATCTGGCTATGCTTATTCATACCATTTAAAATACTGGGAAAGGATTGTACATAATAGAAATTTGAAATCCTATTCCAGTTTTGCTAACTTAAACAGGAATTGTTGTCCATAACTTAGCAAATTCACTTTTGATTTTAAAAGGATGTAAATATAGACTTTTTTTCCAATTTGCATATTTCTGATTTTTAATAAAGTTATAGTAAATTCCTTGTTTCTCTTTCTTATAACATAAAACAGAACAAAGCTTTCTATTGCAGTCGTAGTATTTTTATTGCCTGAAAAATCTCATGTTAGGATCCAGTTTTCCCAAAATAATTTCCGTAATTCCTTTGTCATCAGCAAAAACTAATGAAGTTACTGTTTTCCTATAAAATATTTTTGTACCCCTAAATCATGGGATACAAAATTATTATAATATTTTGGAATAATTTGCAATATTAATAATAATTTATAGTGAATATAATTTATAATGTTAATATTTTATACTATAATATTTAAGTAATTTATTTTGTATAATTAATGCAAATTTCGTAACTTTTCTTTTTCTTATTCAATTATTACAGTGCTTTTTCTTTTCACCGGTTCAATTCTGACAACAGCAAAAGAAAAGTGCTTTCTTCATGTTAACCTACGAAGAATCAGTTAACAGAATTACTTTATTTATTCAAACATTTTTGAATAATTTTAGTTTCATTTCATTCGTTGAAATGGGTCCTAGTGAAATAAACCAATGTTGAATTTTAATGCTGTTGTCAGTAGCTTCTAAAACATTTGCAAAGTTTTTAATTAAGTATTGTTAATACTTTCCTTAATAATTTAAAATCGACTAATATCAATAAAAACAGTTTAATGAATAAAATAAAACAAATTATTTCAAAATCTGAATTAGTTATTCCTTAAGTAAATTCTGGATATATTCTTCGTAGGCGATTACCTATAGAGTAAAATCTTTTTTTCAGTCTGAAGGAGACCTTTCAAGGAAATAATCTTTAAAAATATTAAGTTTCAATAGTATTTATTCTTGCAAACTCAAAAAATCTTAGAGTATCAAATGAGTTAAAATTTATTTACAAATCAGGAATTAAATTACAAATCTTTCTAAAATATACATGTATATCAAATTCAAACACTTCACAAAATAAAATTGTCACAAAATCGACAAAATTCCAATCTTCGTTTAATCAGCTAGTCGTTTAATCAACTAGTTTTTAAAAATTAAATAGTAAAATGTCAGGTAAAAACTTGTACACAGGTTTACATTTTAGCAGAAAAATCGGAAGGAAAACTCATAATGTATATAAAGATTGTATATGGACGTAATTGTCACTTTCTCTAACAACTTTGGGAAGAAAAAAAAACCTAAACTTTACGAGGTTTAGAGATTTTAATCCTATGTGATTTAAAAGATATTGGAACTCCAAAAGATTCAACAATCGTTTAGTGTTTCTAAGAACACTTATCCAAGGTAAAAAGGCTTTTGATCAAGATGTAAAATAAATATCCTTGCATTAATTTCAACTTTACTTGTACACTATGTAAGGCCTCCAGAATTCACAGGCTTCTAATCTAGGGTGAGGTATAGCTCCTTCACTTCTAGGATTTAACTCATATGCAGTAGGATTTAATGCCACCAGTTTCGGCCAATAGCCGTTGCTGTTATCTGAGATTGGGTTGCTGAAAGATAAGTTATAAATGAAACATTAGTACCAAATTTAAACAGGATAACTTAAGATGAAACTTGGAAGAAAAAGAAACAGTGAGCTTTTGTTAAAATTACAATATAAGCACATTAAATTTTGAATACACATCTATAATTATAACCATCGATGAACAGCAGACTCAATTTTAGGTTTACGACTACTAATGGTCTTGTCTTCTGGATTTGGTTCGAAATCACAGGGGATTGTTGTAGTTAATTTACGTCGCACTAGAGCTGCACAATGGGCTATTGGCGACGGTCTGGGAAACATCCCTGAGGATGATCCGAAGACAAGCCATCACAATTTTGATCCTCTGCAGAGGGGATGGCGCCCCTGTTTCGGTAGCCCAACTACCTGCACGCGAAGTCTAGCACTTAACGGTAGAACAATTTAACGAGGACCAATACCGCACACCCTTGGCCCCTACGCAGACTGATCCAAGTAGTCACCCACCCGCACACTGACCGTAGCCAGTGATGCTTGACTTCGGTGATCTGCTGGGAACCGTTTCTTAACGATCAGTCCACTGCGGGACCAGAAGACAGGGGAACTCCTGGATCAAGAATTGGGAGGAATTTTGCTTTTGTACAAGACTTCTTGACGGAACTAACCCACATTTGGGTGAAGAAAAAAAACACAAAAACCTCCCATGGTTAGCCTCATGGCAAGTGGACTAACCCATGATTCGTCTACCACTGAGAATATTTTAAGTCTTCGCTGTTACCGGTGCGATGCCACTGTTTGAACACTAGATATTTCAAACAAAAATCTTGTAGAAAGCCATAACTTCTGTGTGTTTCAAAACTTCAAGAGGCCTTTTTCATGACATCGCCATCTTGGATTTTAGGTTAAATGTGCGATTTCCCGATTTTTTTTTTTTTTTTTTTGTACTTAAACTTCTGACAACAGATTATCGTGTGACAGCATAACGTTTTTCAAAGATTGAGAATGAAAGGGTCGCCTTATGAGATATAGAGCTGAATACATTTAATAACTTCTGTAAATATTTCCACGGAATCGTTAAGCGATTTCTTGATTCAAACTGGAAATCCTCTGGAAAATTGAGGAAAACATTCACATCTGGTACTACTTTTTGTAATCTGAGTAAATCAAGACGCTGATTTCGTGTTCAACTACTTCTACATTAACTATTAAGACAAACACTTTGAGTCGACCTTAACATCGATGGTAAAAAGTAATCTACAAAATAAGGCTCTTTTGTTTGATTAATTTTCAAAACTTACAAGTGCCAACAGTGAACCATGGATATATTTCTGTGAAGACATGCTAATAAATAGTACATAAAAGAATAAAGATTTGGTGTATATTTTACATGACCTTAAAGTTTACCATAAGTAGCAAGAAATTGAAACGTTGCCCAATTTTATAGATCATTAAATATCCTCACAAAAACTTAAATAGTATGAAGTTTGCAGGAAAAAAGACTTAAAAAATAGCAGTAACAGGAGTCAATTTGCAGATCTATGGTAACTGGTTCAACTTTTAAATAATACTGCACTAAACTTTGAGGCCCGTACATAAGTAATTGAATGCAGCATTAGTTACAGAAAAGCTGTGAATTGTTTCAAAAAAAGGAACTTTGAGCCTAATATGAATATCTAAAGTTAACACTTACCTCGATGCGAGTTTTAGTCTATCTAGAATTTACTAAGGTGGAGGATTGATAATACTCCGACTATTTAGGAAAGTTATGTTTCTAGCGCAAATTTTTACACTGATTAGAATACGTATTAGAGTATGTATATAATACGAACTGATTAGAGTATGTTAATATTTTACACTCAAGTAGATAGATTTAACAGTTAAATTATTTGCATTTTATACAGAAATAGAGCAAATTCTAACTTGCATGTTTATGCATCTAGCATTGCTATCCAATCAAGTTGGGTATTAATTCCAAAATATTTTTAAAGCAATCAACAGGAACACTTCCATTCACTACCAGCATACAAGTTATAAAAGCTTTGAGTAGGTAAGTGCAAACAAAGGATATTTTAATAAAAATCTTTTATAACTTTTTTAAACTGTTAGTAAACTGAAATGTTCCTCTGGATTTCTTAAAAAATACATTGGAATCATACTTGACTGGATAACAATGTCAGACGCATAAATACGTACGAGTCAAAATTTGACCTGTTTCAATGTAAAATTTAAATAAATGCAGGGTGTTATCTAATGATCTCCTTTCACTTTTTATTATTAAAGAAACATTTGATATCTAGTCTTAATTACGCTTTAATGCAGAAAAATTTATTTAAGAAAGATTGAAAAACCTGCCTTTGTAGTAGACTTTTTCGCAAAAACTTTAAAAAGAAAAAAAACTGAATCAATACCTCATTTGCTTGGTTAGCAATGTCAGACGTATAAATATGCACGAGTCAAAATTTGCACTGTTTAGATATAAAATTTAAATAACTTATTAACTAACAGATATATCTTATAAACTATTAACTAGCAGGCTTCGATATGATTTTATTAGATTCTACATAAATAATTACATCGGAAGCATAACTTGCTTAGATGGCATCAGTATGTTTTTTCATCCCTCTTCCTCAGTAAGTTCTAGTTATAGACTAAAGCACAGCTTGGAGAGTGTTTACTTCAGATATTCGTATAGGTCATAACTCATGTAAGTCATAAGACATTCGTATAAGTCACATTTTTTAAAACAATTTACAGCTGCATGTAAAATATGAAAGGTAATATGAATATAGATATTCATGAAGATAAAGTACGAGCCTCAAAGTTTAGGGCCTTGTGTAGAAGCTCAATCAGTAACCCTAGTTTTGTGAATTAATTTTGTTTCAGCTATACTTTTAAAGACTAATTTTCCAGCAAATTTCCTACTTATTTAGTTTTGACGAAGGCAGTTAAGAACCCTAAGTATTGTGCAAACTTCCAGTTTCTTGCTACTTCAGGCAAATGCACACCACACACATTTTTGGTAATCCTCATTTATGCATTCACAGAAATACGCATTTGTGGCTGAACCAAATAGGTTTCGACACTCAAAATTAAGAAAAATATATCCTTATTATAAAGATTTAGTAGTTATAGCTTAACAATTAGTGTGGAAGTAGAACAAAGTAGTGGTCAGTGCTATGATTTATTTCAGAAAGTGTTACCGCGTGTAAATAGAATATATATTTTTCTCTCAAAATTCCAAAGTATCTTTTGCTTCGACCCCCAAAATCCCGAGAACATTTTTTGAAAAATAAAAAAACGTATCAAGTAATTTTAAATAGAGTTTTATATCTATAAAATAGTTTAATATCCAGACAATTTTAATAGAATCAAAAATGTCAAGTAGCAAGCTTTGTATAATTTTTGTTTTTTCTTTTAAAAAGAGGGGCTTTTAAGAATTATACATTTACAGCAATAAGTATTTGAAAATCTATTTTATAAGGCAGAGCACAATTCAGCGCTTTTTTTGAATTTAAAATTGCTTTAACAACTTGTTGCTAAGAAAAAATTAAATAATTCATCTATATTCAAAGGTAAGCTAAACCAGGGCACATAGCCTGTCACGTTTCACTATATTTCGGATACCATATAGAAAACCACTGTTTCACTTTCGTTTTATTAACTTCATTTCCTACAGATTAGTCTTTAACCATAACTTCACCGTTCGAGGGTACTGAGTATCGGGAACCCAAAGATTGGAGTGTGGTTATGCAAAGCTTTAGCCCTCCAGATCGATGTGAAAGCTATATTTAAAGAATAATTTTTCTTAACTCCTTAGCCAATGAAAAGTTGCCTACAATTTAAGTGTCTTATTACTCAGCTCAACATTGACACACCATTTTGTTTATTAACGATTTACTGGTGCTGACCGTCTTAGGCCACATGTGTGGGTATGTTTGATCTTATCGAAGTGCAAAAATCCAATTATCAATTTTTCCAATTTTTTAGGAGCCAAAACAATGTAACATTTGGAAAACTTTTGAAAAATTAAAATATAACACCACAAACTCTTTCAATTTTCACAAAACTGATTTTTCTCCACATTGATGTTTTGCGACATTTTCGAGCAAAGTGGATGAGTAATTTTTGGCAAGATACTTAAATCCCTTAGTCAGTTTTGGAAACTTATGTATTACATAAACAAATTTAAATTGTGTTTAATTTATACTCACCCTGTACGAGCGAAATTCACCCATTTCTTGATCAGATCACCACTAAACTTCCCATCTTCCGGTGTATATTTGAGTGCATCAATGATTGGCTTGCCAAAAATATATTGTACTTCATAAAAATGTGGTATTCCCATCCATTCCGCGTCACCTTCCTTCAGAGAACGATGCGTTAACCAATACAATCTTGAATTGTTAGTTTTTTCGGCGAGAAACAATGATGGGCAATTGAAAGTGAAATCGCCAAAAGCATTTGAAATTGCTTGCACAACCTCGGCAGAGTTGTCTTCGGTTATATTCCGGAAATAAAAAGCAAACACTACTTCTGGAGAAACTTCTGGCGCATTAGCAAATAATCCACGTATAACATTTTTAGCTTGCAGCAAAGTAAGATTCACACTTTTGTCACTCGGAAACACGTCCGGCATGGCATAGGACAAAAAGACAGATCCTTCGTTTTTGTTATTACCAATTAGAATAGGCAACTGAGGAAATTCGCCAGATTTCATCTGTAATATGGGATGTTGTGGCAAAAATTCGTCTCCGAATGTTGGGGTGAAGAAAAGAGGGAATTTAGAGGTAAACATGTTCTCAGCTTCAGCAAGTTGAGAAGAATCTTTCTCCTTCAAACACTGCACCACTTCCACCGGGCTAGTTGCTAAAGTTTTGTTCTCGCTCTCACACCCAACCACTTTGGAAAACGTGCTTGCTTTAAATAAGGCTATATTAGAATTATCCGTATAGTACTGGTAATAAGCTGTACCACTCTCCATAATCACCTTGTGAAAGAGTCCATCTGACAACGGTGAAAGCAAGAGATCGTTGATTGAAATTGACCCGGCACTTTCTCCGAAAAGTGTAATGCTGTTTGGATCTCCACCGAAATTTTGAATATTGGCATTAATCCATTTCAACGCTAAAAGTTGATCAAAAAGACCAACATTTCCTGGCGCTTGATCTATGCCAGCATTAAGAAAGCCAAATATTCCCAATCTGTAGTTCACACTAACAATGACAGCATCACCGTAAGAGGAAAATATACTACCGTCATATACATCCATAGTCGATGAGCCAGCATAAAATCCACCACCATGAATCCACACCAAAACAGGTAATTTATTAAAATCATTGCAATTGCAGTGAACTGGTGTCCATACATTTAAATACAGACAGTCTTCACTTATGTTTATTCCCTTGGGAATCCAATGAAAATCTCTGCTAGAAAACTGCACACAAGATGAAGGTTTCGCATTGGCAAAGATCGGTGTTTCCCACTTTCCTATTGGTTCCGGTTTGGCGAATCGCTTTTCTCCTATCGGAGGCTTTGCAAATGGTATACCTAAGAAGGCTGCAACATCTGTGTCGAATACCTTAACGTATTTACCAACTATCGGCCCAGAGCTAGTTTCCACCAATGGTCCAGTCTCTTTAATGTAAGGATTTTTATTGCATGCAGAGGCGAAGCATACTCCATATTGGCCAAAGAAATATAGCACGCCTGAAATGAATTAAAATAATGAGGAAACTAAGGGTAACACTATAAGATTTGTTGCATGAAGTAAGTAATCTATAACATACAATTTTCTGAAGATAATTTGTTATAGATTTGAAAAATACGCTAACGATTTTGTAGAAATAAAATTACTTAAAATATTGATTTTATATAATTTCTTATTCATTTAAAATACGAAGAAGGAGTCAAGTGGACAAGAATTATTCCAGCATTATTCTTTCTTTTCAGTCAGCACTTCAAAATTCTTGCATATAAAAATTAGTTTTTGCTAATTAAATCATTAGATTGGATGATAATAGTTCAAGAATCTGCTTTAGTTTTAGTGACATCTTAAACCAAACTTAAGAAGTTAAGGTATAAGGGACCCGAGCTACAACCTGAAGCTATAAGGGAAAATACTTGAACTTTAACGACAACTTTAGGATTTTAGATTTTTTTTATTTTATTTTGATTTTTAAAATTTAAACCGGGTGGTAAAAAACGTTAAAATTATGTTCGTGAAAAATTGCAGGGGAGCTTTAAGTCTTTATATGAGCAGGGCAAGGTTTGGGTTCACAGCGTGTGCCTAGAAACACTTTTTCTTGAAACTGCATTTTCAGTGTAGCCAAACTCACAACTCTATCAAATCAAATTAACCTCAAATTTGAAGTTTTATATTGATAGTGACACTTTTTTAATAGACGTACATAGAATTATTTCCTTTTTTCGGCTATAAACAATCTTTTTAAGGGATTTTCGAAGAAATAAAATAATTCTTGAAAAAATTGGTAAAGGAAAATTCCTGTACTGGAATTAGAAACCGAGCGTGAAATTATTTCGTTCTGTATCACTTAAGAAAAAAACTTTTTTTTTTTTTGCAACTTACTAGTTGCATAATAGACCTTTTCAAAATATCGATTCATTAAGCTGCCTCGTTAGGGGGAAAATATTACTGTGTCTATTATTTTAAAAAATAAACCATGTGTCAAATTTCATGAGAAATTAACAGAAATTTGAGATTTATTCAGAAATCGAAAGTATAAAGATAAAAAAATTACTGAGAAATTTAAGAAATTTCGTAAGAAGATCCGTAAAAATCAAGTATGTTTGATTTTGATTCTAAATTCACAACTTAATTAAGAGGGGCATCATGCGTGTCAGCCTCGAACGATAGAATGTACAATTGTATGTTTTAAGGGGAGTGACATCTAAGTTAATTTTTTTTAAATTGCATTTACCGTGTAAATTTAAGTGTTAAATGCTTTCCAGAAAATAGAATTTTTAGTGGAATTATACTTTGACTAATAGAGTTGAACCAATTTTAAGTGAAATATTTACGAAGCAATTAGAAATTAAGAAAATTTTCGTGAATCATCGATTTAAACTTACGAAAAGCAAAATTGAGAAAAAGATTTTTGCTGCAGATATTCGGCAATTTTTAGAACTAACTTTTGTTGTATAAGAAATTTGGCGAAAATAAGGAGACTATTTTAATTTCGTCTCGCTCAAACATTGAACAATTGCAACACCCATGCCTTCTTCCCACTCTTCTTCCCTTCTAAACTATAGCTGTGTGAACAGATTGTTAACAATGTTTAACTTAGTACTCTATATGTGCCTGAAAAGAAACATTGAACGATCGGAGTTTATATAAAATTTTTTCAGACCTGTAAGAAATATGTAGTTTGACATTTAAGTCGATATTATGTATTTAATTCTTTAAAATAGAAAGGTGATACATCAAACGCTAAAAAAAAAGCTAGGTTAAAATTCATTGATCAGCAGGAATTTTCCTTAAAATGACAATATGGTTAAAACATCTCAAGTAGTACATCACATCAAAAGTGCTGAAGAAAAGTTTTTTTTAAACTTTTGTTTGGGGGCGTTGAAGAATTCTGAACTTGCAAAGTGGGCAGTGAGTTAAAAAAAAAAAAAGTAAGGAGCCTATTGAGTAGAGAATTCGATTACCATAAGCCAAGAAAAATCTTCCTCCAAGTTTTCTGATTTTTGTAACATTTAATGCTTGTAACTCTGCTGCAATTGGAGAGAACTATATTTTATGCTTTAATTCTTATCCAGACAATGCATGCTTAAAAATACCAAATTTTATCACAGTAAGGCACCCTAAGCAAACCACTCTCGCCAAAATGGTTCAATAAATAGATACTCTGGACATGGCGCCAATAGCTGGACAACACGCTTTGTTTTCGCGGAATTTTCCTATTCTTAACAAGGCAATCAGATATGCACTACATAATTTTTTTTTTCATTAAAAAAATAAGTAAATATTTGAACTGAATATTCTAAGGTGCATCTTTTTATTTAATTTATAACCATCAGTAAACAAAAATTTGAGTTTACGACTACTAATGTTCAGCTCCGTGGCCTTGTAATTTTGAACCCAATCCAGAAGATAAGGGAACTCCTGGATCAAGTATTGGGAGAAATTTACTTTGGTGGAGGACTTCTTGATGGAACTAACCAGCAATTGCGTTACATTGAAAGGAAACCACGAAAACTTCCGACGTTTATCCTGATGGCAAGGAGACTTTAACCCCTGATCCGTCTACCACTGAGGATATTTTACGTCAGTACTGTGGTCGGTGCAAGCCGGATGCGGAATTCGTATGGACCAACCATTGCTGGGTTTCGAACCCTGTTCACCTCATTTGAAGGCGAAGTATTCCCTGAGCCCCCATAGCTAGTGTATATTACATATAGTGCGCCTTTTCTGAAATATCAAAGAAAATTTCCCTTTTTCACACAATGAAAGGAATTTAAAGTAAATTAAAATAAAGCCTACTAACCTTGAAGACAGTTCATTCCCTAGCTATGGTGGCTCAGTTCCCATAGTTCGGTGTCTGGGAAACATTTCGCACAATCTTGTAAAATTTATTTTTAACTTAAAATTAAAACATTAAACACTTATTTTATATGTATTTGTATTTTTGCTGCAAAACGTTATCAATTAAAAAAAAAAATTTAATTTTTATAAGAATATAAATATTTTTAAATAAAACATTTTATGCTAATGTTATTTATGACTTGAGTATTTTAACTTTGTTTTAACAGCAGTTCATTTTGTTTTAATTTGATAAAATAAAAAATTAAAGAATAAATTTTTAAAAATGTAATATCTTTTAAATAAAATATCTATGGTAACTTATTATGGCTTCATGTTTGTTCTAATATATTTTAATTAATTTTTTTAATTTAAGGAATCTATTTTTAATTAACAAAATGATTAAAGTTTTCTTTTTATAAATAAATATTTGTTAGTGTTTTTGTTTTCAAGTAATTAGTTTCAATGTTTTACATAAATTAATGTACTATAAACCATTTGAATGTGAACGATAATGTCACAATACAATTTAGATTAAGATTTTTAAAACAATGATGGAAAAATGATTACTTTTTTTAACTACGTTTTAGGCATTTTTTTCTTTTTAATTAAAATATAATATTTTGTTTTGCTAAAAATGCAAGTTGATACTTACAAAAAGAGTAAAACTTATTTTACTAATCAATAATTTTAAGACAAGATCATATATCCATATAAAAAAAATAAGTTTCCCATCCACTTATAATTTCAGATGAAGATATTGTTACAATTCAACAATTATTTCAACAAAGTTTTTAGATAGTTACTTTATCTTTTGCTTGACGATTCAACGGTGATAATTTCTCTTTATCCTAAAGGATTTGTTTCACAATTTTCAATTTGTAAAACAATTGTGAGTGTTTTTTTTAATATTCTGAATGTAAAACTTACTTAAATGACGAGTGAGTTACTTAAGACGTATGTTTTAAGCAACATAAAGTTTTATAAGCGATACTCGTAAAGAAAAAAGAAAAATGCTACACTTGTATGTTTCCTACTTGTCACTAGATGGCAGCATCAGAAGCAGCCTCTCATTTCAAACTATCAAACGTTTCTCAAATTCGAAGTGGTACCTTTTCCCTTACTCCTCTTCGATCAAATTTATTTAACATTTAGAACATTTAATTTGGTAGTATTATAAGGTAATTTTGAGTTCTACCGATACATTTGTACTATGCTTTAAATAGCCACTTATAGACAAAATATTTGTTTGTACTACAATAACTTATTGTATTTAAATTTAAAACATCCGATTTTTTTCAACAATGAACTAATTACAATATTGTTTGCTTAACTGTCTATAGACAGGTTCATTGCTTTATTTTTAAAGTTCGACAGATAAATAAATTTAATAATTGTCAAAACTTAAGTTAGATTGTGTTTCCCTCCAATCTTTTAATCCGTTTAGTCCCGAATTTATATATGGAAATGATACAAAAAGTGGTTTTATGGAAAAAGTGGTTTAATATATTATCGAAATTAATTGGTTTTTCCACTGTTATGGCATTCAAAAAATCTTTGATAGATCAAAAAGTACTTATTCCTTATAATTCTAGATCTAATCAGAAATAACTAAATCATTGTGGTATCTGAGAATCATTTAATTCACCCAGATAAATGAAAATGTTGAAAAGAGTTTCCCGCCACAATGAATGTCTTTGAAAAAAGGAACTGTCCTAAATATATGACGCTGGGCGTTAACCGGTTAATACTGTTCAAAAACATTTTAGTAGTAAGAATTTAACAAGCTGTGTTATAAACTCCGATTAAAGTGTTAACGTGTTATGCGTGAGTCAGTATAGAGCGTTTTTTTTTTTCGTCCTACCAGGGCATTTAATGCATTAAACTTTCTGATTTAACGGTTGGGTTCTTAAATTGAGAAAAAAAAAAAGTCATAGTACTTCTCCCTTATTTCAATTAGATTACTTGCAATTTTCCAAAATTTATACTTATAAAAAATTTTATGTTTGATTAAAGCGAGTATTAAATTTTATTAGTCTTTAAAAATACAATTCTAATCAACGCAAAAGCTTAATGAAATTTTATATAAGGGTTCGCCAATTTTTATTTAGTAAAAATAAAATCTATAATAGAACGTTAGTAGAGTAGAGGTGTCAAAATTTAAATGTTCACAAATGTTAACTTTCACTTAGAAAATTGAAAATTTACGACACTTGTATAGATAGAACATTTTTTAAAAAATTTCGAAGTGTAATAAACTAGGAATTATAGTTAATGATATTTATTTTCACTATATCAATTAAAGGAATTTGTATGAACATAATACAAATCAGGAAGTAATTCAAATTATTTCTATTTGCGAAAGTGGAATATGTGGTGTCTAATACTTTTTGTCTAATACTTCTAAGTCTAATACTTTTAAGGGCTAGTGTATGAATGATTAAAAGAGTGACAAAGGTTAATAAATTTGGGTGATGTTTTTAACACTAATTTGAAGAAACATCAATCATCGAAATGCAACAATAAATAATTGAAAATAAAATATTTTTTAGCTTCAAATGAGCATTTTCCACTTTCAAAAATAACTGCTAATAACAATTTGTTGTCTTCTAGTTAAAATTCTTCATAATACTTCAAAATGAAGTCTGACTATTCATTAAGTAAATGAAAGGTAAAATGCAAACAAAAAAAACTTTTTGAATAGTTGAACTTGCAATCCTTAAGTTTTACTAGAGTTTCCAATATCAGACAAACATAAATGAGTGCGTTATTTGATTAATATTTAACCAGGATTATGGAATCCAGGATTTAACCAGTCGGAGAAAAAGAAAATTTTCAGGTTCACTCCTACCTACAAATTTTCAATCAGATTCAGAAATATTGAAACTTTATAAAATTCAGTTCCACTTAAGCTTGTTTTATAAAAGTTCGAAAAAAAGGAATTCCAATTTTTTTTACAAAATATTTCACTGAAACATTTAAATGCGATTAAGTGCAAGCCAGTAAAAGCATCCTGTAAAAAATTATAAATGTTCAGTAAGAACTATAAAGCATACAAATTTTAAAAATCGAAATTAAGAAATTAGAATTTTCCATATTTCCTCAAATTATATTTTAGTCAATCAAGCACACAGAAAATGTTAAATTCTTTTATAGATCGTTGCAAAATATATATATTTCTGAATTTTCACTCAAAATATCAAGACTGAATACCAAGACTGAAATACGCGTCGGTTTCACTTTCACAACATTTAGAGCTCTTTCGTGAGGCGAAAAAAATTACGCCCTAATCTCAATCCAGCCTTGGGAGTCTAAGTTAATAAAAGTTTGCTCGACTTCAGATTCAAAGAAGTTTTTGATTTTATGAAAATTTATACAAACATTCACAATTGTTAAGACGAAAAAAATATTACTCAAATACTGAGAAAAACCTTTAAATTATAACTTTTATCATCTTTAAATTTATCATCACATTTGAGAGTTTTTCAGCACATGTAAGATGGAACTTTGAAAGTACAAAAATTCCAAAACGAAAAATTTTGCTAGATTCAAAAGTTAATTAAAAAAGAAAAGCAAATATCTAATTTGAAATAGCTTCCTTATCGAGAGAATTTAGTTCTACCTTTTTCCAAGTTTCAAAATATTCCCTGTAGAATTTTCTTGTAATAAGATATTTAGTAATTTATGAGTGCGAGATATATCTTTTTATATATAATGGTTTCTTATTATTTCAATATTTTGTAGAAATATTTTTTTTAAAAAATTCTTCAAATTATCTTTTAATATGAAGGTTAATTTTAATTCGATAAGTTTCTTTCTAACTGTACGTTTCCTTCTATTTGTACATAAAAACAAAAATGTGTGATATAAAATTGATATTTACTTAGAAATGATATTTTCCGGGGATCTGCCAAAATTTTTAATAGACTGAAAGTCTGAGTCGAATCAACTCCCGACAAAACAATTCTTTATTCTGATAAAGGTGATACTTTATATTAAGTAATATGGGATTAACGAAATAAGTTCTTGCTATAGATACACTGTGTGTGTACATTTTATACAAATTAAAAATTTATGCATTGTACAAATACAAATAACTATATGCTTAACATACAATACACATTTACAATGATTGCGTATTACACATACAATTTAAAAATTTTAGAATTAAGGACAAAATAACTGACTTGTAACAAACAAAAAAAATAGTCATTAAATTTGCAAAGCCTTTTTCTTAAATAGCTTCTTATGTATGCAAACAAAACCAGGAGATGCCAACTGCTCCGGATACGCCGAAATAATTTTAAAAAAAAAACAAAAAAAAACGGTAAATAACTACAAAGTAAATTTTACAAATGTTTGACTATTTTTGCTCTCATTTTAAAAAATATGACATGGCAATAAAGTGGTGAATTATATAAGCCTACGAATTATTTAGAAATAGTGGTGGATAAAAATTTAATAAATTGAATTTGTCAAACCCAGAATCACAATTGATAAACTACCACTTTAAAATATATATTTGCTGTCCGGAACAAGTTGGCATCTTTGAATACCTACCACTGACAATTCTAAATAGGAATTTTTAAAATTAGTATGAAAATTTTCTGCATCTACAAACATTTACTTCGTAAGAATTTAAATCCCCAAAAATGCCAACTAGTTATGCGGTAAAAACAAAAAGTTTAAAAAATTTAAATATGAAAATTTATGGTTTTCGGGGAACAGTTCGTTCAAAAATTTTGTTTGATTCCAGTTATTATTTCACTAAGACGTATTTACTTTAAAAATTTGCATATTTAACTTTACTTAAAATTTGTAGCATTAGCATTTGTACATAGTTTAGTATAGATTAACATTTGTGTAAGATTTGAAAGTTAAATTTTTTTACATAAAATGTAAATCGAAATTTTTTATTCTAATTGGGAAAAAATGACCAAGCATATATTTTCTTGATAAGTATAGACATTCAGCTGAAAGACTACAGACTTATGTCATTATTAGTACTTCGAAATGTACACTTTGAACCCTTAAAATCTTTAACATTTGAAAATTAAAATTTTTTTCCTTATCTACATTTTAATAAAAATTTGAGAATATTTTCCTTAAGCTATGCTACTTTGAGATGCAGAAATAAATTTGTTTTTAGTTCACTGTTAACTAGTCGAATAAATAGTTACAGAATAACTCTGTTTAGTTATGAATAGATATAAGAGGCGACAACAAACAATTTACTAAATATTAAACTTAAAACCACAATACATAATGCAACAAAATAATATAAAATTACTACGCAATAAACTCTTTCAAGGGGTTTTAAAGATTTTCTACTAAGCACTTACCGAAACTGCAGATGTTAATTAAAAATTGCTTGAAACACGTACGCTTCATAGTTAAAACCTAATAATTGATTACAACTAAAATCGCGCCGCCGTAGTTTACCTTTATAAAGATTTCTTTTTTTAAAAAAAATAATAACAAGAAATGAATTCGAAACGCCTTCTACGAGGCGTTTCGAATTTCGTGAAAGAAAAGGCCTCAGCCAATCAAGGCTGATTCAGAAATTGCGTCAGTGTGACATCAACATATTCGAAAGTATCCAAAGGAAGGTATTACTCAAAATTGATAACAGGTACGGGGTTTCCACGTGTGAAGAAAGTCTTCTTTTGATTTTTCTCTGTCTGAAATCTCTCGGTTCTAGAGCTAAGTTTTTCGGTTTTTGTTCTATTATGAACTATTTAGCCACGAGGCAAAGTCTCGAGAGTGACATTTTGTTGTGAACTTCTCCGCACGAGTCGCAGTTTATCTTAAACAATGTTTTCAAAGAACATATATTTTTGTTCGGTTAGTTAAAACCTAACACTTTATCTATCTAGTTGATATTTCTGTTCTTGTTATCTAAATGAAGTCTAGACATGATAAATAATTTTATTGTAGATTTAATGGTAAATACAAAATTGTTTATTATATATGGATAAAAAAAATGTTTTATGCTTGTACAGATAATATAAATGTTTAAGATGTTAAGGACCCAAACTGCAAGAAAATATTTTTCGCAAAAATAAAAAGTCTGTCCAATAATTTTACATAAAGAACATATCCTGAAGATATAAAGAAAATCAAAAATCCAATCCTTCAAGACTGTTAGAAAACTGTCTCTTAATTTTAAAAGAGTTATTATTAGATTGGTGGCTGAGAGGTAGCGCTTCGCGCTGCCCTGCCACAGGTTCCTGGTTCGATGCTCGAGCCGGGCAAGGTTGACTCAGCCTTTCATCCCTTCAGTGGGTCGATAATTAATTCAATAAGTACCAAGCATGCTTGGGAACTAAACACTGGGGATTCCGCGTTCGGCTGACCACCTGACCGGAACATCTGCTCCTGCATCCCAGAGCCCAAGGTCAAGAAAACTGAGATGGGCACTGTAGACCTTGGCCCTCTTTGGGCTGTCGCGCCACTGAGTTTAGTTTATTATTAGATTCGGGAGCATATGACGGGATTCTCATCAGACAACGGAAATTTGACAATTAACATTATTTTAACAATTGAAATTTAAGAGTAACTAAGATTTACCTTGAAACTAGCATTTTTAATTTCTGTTATTTTAGAAATTTTCGTTAGACATCCGGCTTTCAAAAAAAAAATAAATAAATATTTTTTTTTTTCAAGTATGTTAAACTTGCATGTCGATACAACCCCTCAAATGTCCTTCAAACTGCAGATATTTTGGAAAGTTCATTGAGCAAATGAAAATATTTCAGATAAAAACTGGTTGTTTACTAGAACCAAACATTAGATATATTACAAATGATGTTTGAGTTTATTTTCTTTAATAGCTATCGTAGCGAAATTATCAGCATTATCATTATTAAGTTTTCTACAATGGCCTAATAATGAATCTTCTCAATTGTGTTTTTTTTATTTTATTTTATTTATAAATTCTCTATAATAAAGAGAACGAATTTGGGTTTATATATTTCAATCTTATTAAGAGGTAAATGAACCTAAAATTAAAAAATGAGGAATTTTCACTATTTTTAGGTGAAAAATTTAGAAAAGATTTAATATTTTTACAAATCTGATAATCCTTGTTTCGATACGTAGTAACAACACGTCTGCATGTTTACTGTATTTCAATACTATATTTCAATATTATATTTTCAATTGTGCAATGTAGAAACTTTTAAATATCTGAAAAAAGCAGGAAAAAAATTTTTTTATATAAAAGTTTTGTTAACATTTGGATATATAAATTCGAACCAAAGGCCCGAATAATTAAAAATTGAATGCAATATGCTATATGTAATAGTAAATTTGTATTCACAAATCTATATTTCATAATGACCTCGATTTTAAAAGTTAAAACTATTTAAACTTATTAACAAATTAAGGCGTGCACAATTGACTTGTATCTATTAAATAAATGGTGAAATAAAAATGCTTCTTGTATTTCTGGTACATTTAGAGCGCTTATACATATTTAATCATAGGTTTTGGTACTCTTTTGATTTTTTTAAAAAGAAAGCTAAGAATCATTGTTTTTCAAACATACTATAATATAAAAGTTCAAAGTTTATTATTTTTTTGAAAATATAAACTGTGAATTGAAAAGATTTTGACATTATTTGCTTTACATCTCTTAAAAGAAAACATTTCACTATACAAATTTTTATGCAGTCCTTTAGATTTTTGTATTACTTAAACAAGCTGATTGAACCCTACCTCATTATGTGCACTAAAATATAAGAATATTAGGGAATTTAAAGTTAAATCTTTTATCCGAAATCCAGCCAATCGGATGTTCTGTAGACAGTTTGCATGCAACAGATAACGCAGAGATCATCGATTCGTTAGCCGAATTGAAACCAGTCTTACCGTTCGACACGTGTTTAACCTTAAAAGAATACTGGTAAGTACCTACACACGTGTATTTTCACTTTTAGGGCCTCAATTTTTGGGGTCTTTGAAATATGCCCTCAAGATAGTGAAGTTGATTATATTTTAAACATCATGATTTTAACGAAAGATATTCGGTCATAGGTCAAAGTTCGTTAAGAGACCATCAGATTTACTTTCACTTTTGGTATTCTTTGAAATTAAATTAAAAATTGTTGAATTAAAGCTTTATATTTTTCAAGGAACATTGATACTATACATATTTATCTATAATTTCCCATTGAAGTTGAGTTAAGATATAATAAAGTCAAAGCAAAAATTCATAAACGTAAAGAGCCTTAACAAAATAAATAAATACATACATAACAAAATAAATAAATACAAAAAAACACGAAGAAAATTACGAAAAACAATAAGTATCATTTATTGCGCATAAGCTGCAAGTAAAGAGAACACATTAGATAAGTTCAAAATGAAGATAAAACAAAAGAAAGTTACAGATATATGAAGAAAGAAAAAAAAAAGGGGGGGGGGGGANAGGGGGGGGGGAGAAAAAATAATAAAAAATAACAAACAACTGGAAGAAAAGAAAAAAAAGGATAAAAATTTTTTAAAAGTCCGGAAAATAAAAGATTATATCTTTTATTTTCCGGATTTTTAAAAAAATTTTATCCTTTTTTTCTTCCAGTTTGTTATTTTTTATTATTTTTTCTCCCCCCCCCCTTTATATTCTTCTTCATATGTCTGTAATTCTCCTTTATTTTATCTTCATTTTGAACCTATATATATATAGATATAGATATATATTCATATATATGCTTCTAAGCAAGTGCTGGTGCTTCTAAGCAATTTATGAATAGGAGAATAATTGTATACATTTTACGTGTTTCGCACAAATGCTATATGCTTATTGGGCAACGTTTGATTATAAGTCTTAGTGGGATAGAAAGAGAGTAATATTTTTTCCTTCGCTTTATTTATTTAAAAAAAAAATTACAAAGTTAGTGGCCAAAGAAAAATAACATTTTCATTATTCAAAAAACTTATTTTATGAAATACATTTCTTACTTTATTCGGCTTATTGGATTTTTATCAATAGTGTTCAACTGAGCAGCGGAGGCTGCGGGGATAGAGCGTTCGTCTTCCAATGAGGTGAACCGGGTTTGAATCCCTGCAATGGTCGGTCAGTTCGAATTCCGCACTCGGTTCACACCGACCACAGTGCTGACGTAAAATATCTTCAGTGGCAGACGGATTATGGGTTAGAGTCCCCTTGTCGTTGGAAGTTTTCGTGGTTTTCCTCTCCATGTTAAGAAAATGTGGGTTAGCTCTATCAAAAAGTCCTCCATGAAGGCAAATTTCTCCCAATACTTGAACCAGAGTTCCCTTGTCTTCTGGATTGGGTTCAAAATTACAAGGCTTTGGATTTGAACATCGGTCGTAAACCCAAAACTAGGTCGACTGTTCAACGACGGTCATAAAATACTTATAAAAAAATAATGTTAAACCAGGAAAAACATCAGTTTCGGGAATACCGGGAAATCATCCGAACATTTTTACTGGATTATTTATCATTTCGGTTAATCCGGTTATAATTGCGTATGCAGAAAGAAAAAAAATCATTACTTGAAGAAAACACCTTAAATAATAAACCTATTGGTCGCATCAAGAAATTACTTTTCAAAAAATAGTAATCAAATGTAATTGTACTATTCTAAATGAGGAATAGGATATACTTTGTGCTACGAATGAATAAAATAAAAGCAACTCTAATAATGCGTAGATAAAGGTTAAAATGTATAAAACAAAGAGGAAATAAAACCCATAATATAACCAAAACTATACTATGGCCCTTCGTGTATCGTTATTTTTGTTTTATTCAATTTGTTTCTGCTTTATTTATATTTTTAACTATGAAATAATTATATTTTATGCTCCACCGGTTTGCACCAAGCTTCCATAATGTGAGAAATGTTTAATAATTTCATATACTTTGTTAGACTCAACAATACCGAATTTTTGATATGCATGTTAGTAACAGAGTATCAAAAATTGTAAACAATGCCAAGTTTTTTACTTTGCGAACATTCATATCAAAAAATACATTCATAATATTAGAATCTGTATTTGAATCTAAATTTACAATTTTGGATTACATCTAAAATAAAAATAGTTAAGCTTTTAAACCAAATTGGAAGCTAACAAAAATATGCATATAATTTAAGTATGTTACTGTGAATGACCAAAATTGGTATTTGTTGACTTTCACAGGGGAATGTTGACAATAACATAGTCGCTTTGGTAAATGTTGACATTCACCGGCGAAAGTGGACATTGTCTTGATTTCGATCATTCACGGTAACAAGTGTACAAACGTAAAAACACTTTATTCATAAAGATACTTTTGTTATGATTGCAGACAGAGAATTTGACAGGTAATTCCTGATATATAAAGGTATACTCCCAACAGGTACTGCTTATTAAAAATAAATTTCGCATTAAAAATGAATTTTAAATTTACATTATTCTAAAATTTTTAGAAAAAAGCGATTTTCAGAACAGTATAAAACATGAACTAAAATTATATATTTAGAAGAAAAATAATGAT